CAATTACCCTTTTTTCTAGCTTTTTAGACAACACTAAAACTTTTAACAAAATCCTTGAAGTGACTTTCTTAGTAGTCTAAAATATATTAAATCATTTTATGTCTTTTTACCACCTTAAAATGTTACACTTTAAAAACTGTAACTTTTTAAACTGGCTCAATAACAGTATGACCTGGCTTTATTTGGTAAAGCCGATATGATTTTAAAAATCATAAACATATATATATATATATATATATATATATATATATATATATGTGTGTGTGTGTGTGTGTGTATGTATATATATGTGTGTGTGTGTATATATATGTATATATATGTGTGTAAATATATATATATATATGTGTGTGTGTAAATATATATATAGTTATATATTTATATTTTAACCAGAAAAATACTTTTAAAGGCATGCCAAGGTTGTACATAATCAGTTGAGGACTAAAACATTAAATAAGACACCACAAAAGACAAGACCAACATTAAAGACACAAAGGATTTTCTGTCCATGGTTCGGTGACCTAAAGGGAAATAAATTTTCACTATGACCCTTAAGTCCAATAAGCCACATGGAAACTGCAACAGTAGTTTAAGAGAAAAAAGAAATCTAAATGTTAGTACTGAGGTAACAGATTCAAATGGACAAATGGCTCCACCGTAAAAATATACCAAGCATTTATGGGTGTTAAATAGCTGACTATATCAATGTTTTTGGATCATTGAACACAGCTGTTTGCAGTCTCCCTGTTTGAATGTCCACTTTGTATTCTTTGATACTGTGATTTCAGCAACTATTTTCAAGATGATAATATGTAATCTATTAACAGGTGATTTCTTACTGTTATTTTTTTTTTGTAGTTCTGTATTACATGTACCCTTACACCGCTTTGTTTTGTTTTGTGTTTTTCTCTTTTTCCTCTTAAATAAAAAAAAAATATATACCAAGCACAAAACCAAATGGATAAAAAAATCCCAAATCACAAATGGGCTAGAAGCCCTGTCCCGGAGGGCGTCCCGCTCCAGAGCAGGAGCCAGCCAAGCTCCTCTGCAACTTCAAAAGTGCGCACTCAAATTACAAAGAACAAAAGATCCAAATACTTACAGATGTTTCAAGCGAATGGATTGGTAAAAAATGTGGGGAGGGGTCCCCATGTAATCCCAGAGAGCCCCAAAATGTTGTACTCCACTCAAAAAACAAGGCCCCATGATGAAAAACTGGGCAAGACCCCAAAATGACAAACAGGGCAAGACGTCTTTTTAAAAGAAGCGCTTTTATTTTAGCTGGCCCAGCGACACAGTGCAGATGGAATTTGCAAAGCTGTGCAACTGACTTAGAGTTTTGACTGATTTTTATAGTTCATTTATGATTAGCTCACTGATCATTAAGTACATAGTGATGAGAAACAGAAATAAGGTGGGCCTTTGTTCCCCTTTGCTTGAGTTCAGAGGCATTTCACAGTGGGTGGTTAGGCAATTCATAGCCCTTGGTCTGCCAATTCCAGGAACATTTGTCTCTCATGAAGAGAACAATGGTTGACATAGCATCATTTGTCTCTTACAAGGGGAACAAAAGTTGACATAGCAAACAGGTCACTAAGGTGGGGGGGTGACGCATTACAGAACAGCAGAACGACATGGTCAGTTAATTTATAACTATGTGGTTGGTGCTTGGTTACTAGGGTAATGAGCTCAGTACAGAATGGCAATATTACTAATAACTATCTTTTTAAGTAACTATTTTTGTTAATAATCTTTTAATCAATTATTTTAATTTTTAGCATCTTAGTATAACAGAAACAAAGGAAAGTAGAAAGGTAGGGAAAAAGAAAAAAAGGAAAGAAAGGAAAGGAAAGGAAAGGAAAGAAGAAAGAAAGTCTAAAGGCGGCTGGGGATGGAGCTCAGTGGGAGCCCTGGGCAGCACCTGGTCATAGTAAGCCTGAGGGACACAGGATCCTGCTGTAGGACCTGTGTGTGAGAGGTAAGGATTCTATAAATAGAATACCTCAGCATGTGGATCGAATACCCTAGGCACTGTTTGAAGGAAAATATACAAACTTCGAGCTAAGGACTTAGGCTCCGTGGGAGAGTCAGCTGCAATTACTCTAAGCGCTACAGTTATGTAACCCAGTCGGTCCCGAGGCTCCCTGACCAGCTCCTTGCCCTGCTGTCCTAACTCCCATGCTCTGCAGACTGATGGCTTGTGAAATGGTAGGGTGGAAAATTCACTTCCTCCTCATACAACCCCAAATTAGCAATGTGGTCAAATTTATGGTGTTTGGATTATAAAATGAAAATACTCATGCCATTTTGGCCTTATTTTTTTATCCTTAAAAATGATGATTTTCCAGTGACACTGACAATGGTGACTGGCAGGTCATAGTTTCTCCACTAGGAAAAGTGGATGAATAGTGATAAGCAAGCCTAAACCCGAATCCTCAATTAACACTGCTCCATTTACATTCTTTTGGAGTGGGGGGTAATGGAAATTGAATCCATGACCTTCCATCTCCAGCCCTTTTTATCTTTTAGTTTTTGATACAGGCTTTGGTTAAACTGTGCAGGGAGATCATTCATTGGCAATCCTCCTGCCTCAGCTTCCCACGTGTTGGTCAATTTTGCATTCTTAACTTGCCATTGCTTGTGGGCAGAGGCAGGCACAGGCCACCGATTTTCAGAGAAGAGCCGTGTTGCTCTTCCCCAGGGAATTCCATGAGCTTTGATCTGGAAGTCAATGGGATGGATGAAGTGGTTCCTTCATCTGCTGCAGGGTCCTCGCTTTGTGGGGGGGTGGCTTTTGTCCATCTTGGACCCTGAGGGTGATGCCCCTCTCTCTTGTGGTCAGCTTTCTCACTGTACCCAAGTTTGCCCACAGATAGCATCTGGGTTTTACCTGTCAATTATCCTCTGGACACCGAGCCAAAGGGACCACTCTCTTTGTCCAGGGGCGCTTGTGTCTATTTTCAGGTCGCAGAACACAGGGAGGAGCTGGGTCTCAGTGTGCTCGATGCTCTCCACTGCTGGCCACATGGAATCTGGTGGCTGCCGGTGTTTATAGAAGGACTGAGCATAATCTCTGTCACTGTGGCTCGGGCTGTGAGGTGAATGAAAATGCTTCCCCGAGGATATAGTAAGGCTTAGGCTGAGGGCAGGCTGTGGAACAGAGACAGAGCAGCCAGCCGAGACACTGAACTGGGAATAGGAGTGCTGTAACCAAGCCGAGGAGTAGTGCGTCCTCAGTGATAGACATTTCTATTGAAGAGGTTCCTCTCACAAACATGAGCAAGAAAGGCAAAGCCAATATATTCACTGATCCCAAAGCAGAGAAGGAGCCCCCATTAAGTCCCAGGACTTGCAATAGGTCGGGACTGCACTGGTGAGATCGCTTTTCCCAATCCACCTTCATGGAGCCTCCTGACCGGGAAGATGATGGACTCAACACACACTTGTACACAGTCAGAAATTTCAGATACGCAGCGAGTCCTCATAGTGGGCACCATGTCCACCACCTACATCACTCAGCACTTCGTCCTCCGTCTCCAGGACATGGAGGGGATTAGATTCCAGTGCAGGAGAGAGCATGTTAAATCGGTGTCATTGTCACGTTTCCTAACCTGTTTCAGCTTCTCTTTTCCCTCTTGTAAAACAAATCTATTGATAACCACCAGACTCTTACAAAAACAGAGAATACAGAAAGTGTCCATAAAGACATCTGATCCCTGACTGATGTGCAGTAAATCATAGCTGCTGTCACCCAGAGTTTTTCTCTGTTCCATTGTTGTCTCCAGCAAGTTTACCAGATCTGTCTCCACCAACAGATAAGAAATCAAGGAATGAAGAAAAGGGGGTGGGTCAGTTATGGGTCATATTTTTATAAATCATCTAACATCAAGATGCCTACTAGCCTGGTCTAGAAAAGTGGAATCTTGCTTCAGAAAGCCTGTGAGCCCTGGAGCGATGACAAACAGAAAGGCTGATTAGTTTCCAGTGTCATCGAGCGGATGGGTATGTATTCCTACTGCACAGTGCTACACATGTGCCCTCAGGGAATCCTGAAAGCAGTTTCCAGCATCTAGACACAGAGCGCAGCCCTTGACATCTGCATCTGCTGTTGTGACCTTAGTGCTGTGACTGAGATGCATGGGCCCAGGGAGGCTGCAGCACCACACCCTACTCACAACCGGACACGCCTCTGGGCGGGAAGAAATCCTGTCTGAGGATCCACCACTGCATACTTTTAATAATAAACTCACAAAGGAATGGAAGGGGACGCATGGTGCACAACTCCACAACTCTAAATTTAATTTAAAAAATGCAAAAAGCTCTCCTGATCATGCACAGAGAGGTAGAGATGCATCACTCAGCATTTAACAGCTGCGACTCTATTTCCCAGCCATGTGGGCTCTGTTCTTTCCTAATCTTAACATTCACATAGTTATCTATACTACGTTTTTAAAAATTTATGAATTTAAACTTAAATTCATAATTGAACTTTGAGTATTTTTGAAAACTGCACACACTTCTAGATGTATTGGCAAAAACACAACAAATAGCCCCAGAAGAAATTGCAGAGGACTTAAAATGCTATTTTATACAGTTAAAATGCATTTTATAGATCATGTAACTCTGAGCAATGGCTTTTACTGTTTTACAAGAACTGTCACTTGTTATTAAATATTCTCTTGATTCATTAATGTAAAAGCAGTATTTCTGATTTGCTACTAAGAAACCTTTACAGTTCCACAAGCTACAGGGATTTTTATCTGCAGGCTAAGCCCAAATCCCATGATGAATTAACACTGACTGAGGTTTGGGGACCTTTGGATGGATGAGCCCAGGCTAGAGTGACCCTGGGGCCCTGGACCTCAGCTGAGCTTTCTCCAGGCAACATTGTGTCCCTGGGTTAATGTGCATAGGTGGCCATCACAAACTATGCAGGCTGAGTCACTTGAGGATAGAAAATCATTGTCTCAAAATTCTGGAGACCAGAAATCCAGGATCAAAGGTTGGAAGGTTTGGTTTCTCCTGAGTCTTTGCTCTTTGGCTTGCAGATGGCATGTTCTCCCTGTGCCTTTCCTTCTCTGTCTGTCTGCTTTCAAATTTCCTGTTAAAAGACCTCCTCTCCCTCAGCCAGGCTGGACTGCACCTGCCCTGGCAAGTCCAGTCTACATTAACCACATCGGTAAGATCTTTGTCTCCAAATGCAGTCACACTCTGAGGCTCTGGGAGGCAGGATGCCACCGCCTGAATCTGGAGAGAAGACACCATCCATCCCCTCATCGCTCCATAGTAAGTAAAGGGGCGCCCAAGGCCCACCCTTCATTTCCACGCAGTGAACCTCTAGCCGGTCCTTTCTTGTGAGTGAAATGCAAACGCCAGTGCTATAGCGGATTTCCTCTTCTTTTCCTTTACCTTTCACAGCAATAGTTTCTCCATCCCCGGATTTTACATCAGAGTCTACTTGACTCTCACACACGCTTTCTCTTCTCCTGAATTTTAGGCTCACCGCCCTCTCTGCCTCTTTCATACTGCTGCATAAAATCACCCCAGTGGCTGCTTCTCTTCCAAAATGCCCAAAAGTTATATTCCCTCAAAGTCTAGTCATTCAGGCTAATCCTAAGTCCATCATGCAAATATTTTTTTGGCAACAAGGTAAAATTAATAGTCTTCCAAGTGACCAAAACAACACCTTCATAACTTGGCTTATGGTTTTGTTCATAACATCATCTATTCTTCTACTCTGTTCACCACAATAGTTAAGATTAGGCTCCTCTGCTAGTTATAGAGCGTACGAGCTAAACAATGTTAATAAGACAGCTATTTCTCTAGCACTGAAGTGGTTTAAGCAGGGGGTACCAGGCTGTTAGAACATCCCTCCTCGATCAAATTGAGTAGTGTATTCTTTGCCTTTTCCCATTGTTTTGGTAACTATGCTATCAGGTTCCTTCACACTCAGGAATCTGCTTCTGAAGAATTTCAATCCAAAATTCATGGCCCAAGACAAGTGCAGTTGCCTCAGCCTAAACATCTGCCTTTTATGCAGCAGGATGGCTGGGAAGCCACGGTTGTGGAGTGTAAGAGCTACGCTCCTGACAGTAACATCGGAAAGTCCATTTCTTAGAATACAGATACCCACTAGGGCTGGGCAAGAAGATTACTAAGTAAACAGTGTCTCTGTTTTCTCAAAATCTCTGTTACCATATCAACTACTTAACAACACAGCAGAACACAAACGTTCATGAGCCACAGGTTGAAGGATCGTTTCAGAGGAAGTCACCAGTGTCAAGGCAATGTCACTAATGTGGAAGCAAGGTAACACTGGCTGTGAGATCTGGGATAATACACTTTTTGTGAAACTTATGGTATTTTTGAAATGCTGATAAAAATATAACTCACTTTTTGAGAATGCTGTGGCCATGGCAATAAATCCTTGACAAACAAATATGCTGACATTGTGTACAGTACCTTCTAACAGCCTGCGTGAGGGTCCTCCTGGCTTTCCCCAGTTTCACTCCCTTTCTCCTGCTTTGCATGTTGTGAGAAAAGTTGTCTCAATTCCTCCTTCAGCAAAGGGCTTCTGAGCACAAAAATGATCTCTGAATACAATTATAATAAGTAAAAGGTGATATTCAGGAAGGGGCTCAGAGTACAGGATGGAGCCACTCAACCAGAAATGCATCAACCTCAGCTCCAGGCCTGGCTTCCATGGTCGTCAGTGCCAGGAAAGTGATCAGAGCATCATCACAGTGCTGCTGTCGGTTGATTCCCCTGGTGGATGAACTCGGCCTGCTCCCAGCACTGCCTGCTTGATGTGTACTTTCTAGGGAGAATCCATGGTCTGCTTGGGTCCCACACCCAGTTGTTCCAGGTGTGATAGTTTTGATGCTGAATGTCTCCAGTGGACCATGTCTAAATGTCTGATCCACCGAGAGGCACAGCTGGGAAGTGGTGGAAACTTCACAAGTGGTGAGTCCAGGTGGTAGGTCCTTGGGTCGTGGGGTCTTCCCCCCAAAGTTAAGGGGCCCTAGCCTTTTGTTTTTTATCTTGTTTCCTGGGTTGTGATGAGAGTGAATTGGCACCTACTCATGCCAAGAGATCCTTTCCCACAAGTTGAAAGCAATGAGGCCAAACAGTCATAGACTGAATTGTCCATAGCAGTGAGCCAGAACAAAATCAGCTTTTTAATAAATGATCATCAAGAGTATCTTTTATGGTGATGGAGGACTAACATACAAAAGGAGGATATCACATCTTCATCAGTCATCACCAGAACTATACACAGCTGCAGCTGAGTATTTCCAGACCTAAATTGGATGTGTTCTTTTGAAAAGTAAAAAACACATCCAAGATATGGAAAAATGGCATCTTCCTGCTGAAAGTGGGCTGAGAATGCAATCTGAAGCAGTGCTTGGGTAGTGCTGGTCCAGGAAGTAGGAGGAGAATGTGCAGAAGAACAGACCGGCAATCCCAGGTGACAAGTGGCTGGAGACAAGATGCGGTTCACTGGGATGTGATGGGAGGTGGACTGAAGTCACTGTCTCCAGCCAAAGGGTAAGGAAAGAATATCAGTGTCTCAAGAGAGGATCTGACTTTAACTTAAGGAAAATGCTAAGATGTTCTAGTTACTTTTGCATCGTGGGGACACACACCCAACACTCACAAATTAAAGGAGAAAGGTTTACCTTGGCCCTCAGCTTCAGTTCTTGGTTCTGGTTCCAAGGCCGAAATGACAAGGTAGAAGCACTTGGGTGGAAAACAGTTACCATCCACAGCAGCCACAAAGCCCAGCAAGAGGGGAGCAGCCAGGACGGGGAGATTCACCCTTCCAAGTCATTTCCACAGGGACCTGCCTCTTCTGACCTCCTCAAACCTCTCATGGCACACGCAACCGTGACTTCACCATTGAATTAATCCATCATGGTGGTTACAGGGCTGCCATGATCCAATCTCCTCGAAATACATGCAGGTTTTGTGGGCATTCTACACCTAAACTCTGACATCTCATCCTGGCCTGAAAAACACTCACATCCATCTCTATGCAAAATACATTTCGTCCATCCTCTAAGAGTTGCCAAGATATTCAGTGTCAGCATTGCCAAAAGTTCATGTCTTCTGTCTTTTCTGAGGCTCAAGACAAATTCTTAGTCCCTGAAAAATAAAGAAGAAAGCTTAATGCCACCGACATACAATGGCACAGGGTGAGCATTCCCATCCCGAAAGGGAGAGGTGGGGACACAGGTAGGAGCGGCACCAAAGCAGGACCAAACCCAGCAGAGAAGCACCTAACTCCGGACCCCACGCCCAACACAGCAGCCAAGGCCTTCCTGGCCTATCATTCAGATCTCATTTTTAAAATTTCCTTTTTTCCTACTAAACATAGCCTTAGTTTTTTTTTTTTTTTAATCTAACAGGAAGGTTGTTTAAGTACTTCATTTTCTCTTAATGTAGCCATTTTCTGGTATCAGTTTCCCTCTTAGGAATGCTTTTGAAACATTCCCTAAATATTGGTGTGTATTTTCATTTGTCTCAAGGTCGTTATTGATCTCTTGGTTGTGGTATTTTGGAATTGAACCCAGGGCCTCTGGGTTAAGATACATTTCTTTTCTTTTTTGTCATTTTCAGGCAGTTCTCCCTGAGTCTTTAAACTGTCCAGGTTGGATGTGAACTTGCAATTGTCCTGTCTCAGCTTCTCTGAGTGCTGGAATTATAAACATCACCATCATGCCTGGCTTCAAGATACAGTATTTTAAAATTTATTTCAAGCTTAATAGACAAAGAATATGGTATGTATCTATACGATACACGTGCTGTTTGGGTACATGGGTGCACTGTCAAAGAGGCTAACATATCCATCACCCAAGAAAACAAATGACCTATGAAAAATGGGTAAAAGATCATAGGCATTTAGCAAAAGAAAAAAGACAAATGACTAACGTATATATGAGAAAATATTCGACATTGCTACCACTGATTAAATGCAAATTAGAGTATAAATAGACATCACTTCCCATCTCCTAGACTAGCGGTTGTCAGAAAGATGATTGATGCACAAGTGTTGGTGGAATGCGGAGAAAGACAACCCTTGCACACTCTTGGGAATGCAGAGTGGTGCAGCCAGTTTGGAACACAGTATGGAAATTCCTCAGAGGCTAAAAAAAAACGAAAAAGAGGGGGATTCAGCACCGTCACTATTGTGTGTATGTGCATAGATGTTGTGCAAACATTGATACATTTGTCTTTGTCTTCTGTGTACTCACTGCAAACTTTTCTTGGTCATGTCCATGCAGTTTAAATACAATATACTCCAGGCATGCCAGCATGGCTTATCTACATGCTACAGTTTAACTTCAACTACATGCGAGAATTCTGCACAAGAATTTCTCTCCCTTTTTCACCTTATGCTATTGATATCACAATATTTTTAAAATATTGATTGCCCATTATAAAATTATTATAGCTACAGATATTTTAATGTTTTTATGTTTATACTGACGTTAAACCAATTCATGACCCATGCTTAGAATATTCTGCATTAGACAGTATCCTTATCTTTTTGGTGAGCTGTGTATCTCCACACATTTTCATGCTGCCAATGACTGTTATGGCTTGTATTTGGATGTTCCTCCAAGCCTCATGCCATCAAAAGTGGGGCTTTTGGGAGGATACAGAAAGTGTGATGCTGGGATTGAGGGTGCCCCACTCCGGGTGTGAGTGCTAGCCTGTAGTTTCTACTTCTTCTCTACTCTGCTATCTTCTGCCCACCACGAACTGTCTCTCCTGCGATGCCCTGTGCTGTGCCACCTTGCCTGGAGCCAGCCAACTATGGACTGAAACCTCAAGAAATTGGGAGCGACAATAAACCTTTCCTTGTTTACCTTTGAGGGTTGGGCATTTTGTCTCAGCAAGGAGAAAAGTAATGACTATTACAATGATTTTCTTTTAACATTCAGAGTTCTGTTTGTCACACCTTATAAAGCAGGCGTAGTGTTAATAAGCTCTTTTAGCTTTTGTTGTCTGGAAAAGCATTTTTCTGCCCTTCATTTCTAAAGAGCAGTTTTGTGAGATGGCGCTCTTGACTGGCAACGTTTCTGTTCAGCATTTTAAGTATCCTCCTATTCACACCTCACCTATAAGTGTCCCCTTACAACTCTCCTGGTAGATTCTGAAGGCTCTCTTGCATGTGACCAGTTACATCTCTCTTTCTGTTTTTAAAATTATCTATGTCTGAGAACTCAGTGGCAATGTGCCTTGGAGGAGCTCATGCTGTTTTTAATCTACTAGATGCTATTTTGGGATTCAGGTATCTGAATAATTTCCACTCAAGATTTGAGACATTTCCAGTCAATATATTTTGATTAAGATTTCATCCTGGATATCTTTCTCTGAGTTCTTTGCCACACCCACCACACGCATGCATCCTGGTTCACTTAATTGCATCCCATAAATCCCGTAGCTTTATTCACCCTTTTTAATTCCTATCTCTCTGTTTACTTCAAATGACCTGTATTTACTGTGATTCTTTTTTGTGTGTAATTCTCTGTCCCTCTGATGACCTGATTTTCCACCCTTGATTCTCTGTAGCCCTTCTATGTCGGCTTTCTCTGGGTCCTTCACTGTTTTCTCCAGGTTTAGGACTGTTGTGGCTTCTCTGTGTGCCCAGCCTCTGCACTAGAACAAGTCACAAGATAGGACTGTTTCATTATGTATGGAATGAACCAACGGATACACAGTAGCTGTTTGTTAAGGGCTGTGCTGGTTTTCATATGAAACATGATACCTACCACAGTAATGCTATGGAGAGGAATAGAAATAGAAGTATCAGCTTTCTCTCCTATCTTTTCATTATAAAACAGTAGTTAAAACTCTAACAACAAAATTAATCCTGAACTTATAATTGTAAGGTTTACATTAAACCTCCTCATTTTTATCTGAATATCTCACTAGTTTATTGCTAAGTAAAACAATAATTCTAATTAGGATTTAAGTTAAGGATTGAAATTTGTGTGAAATGTTGCTGGGAAAATTTTTTGAGGTGGAAAGATTATGTAACTATTTTAAAATTACTTTAAGCAGCCAACTTGCTAACAAATGTCAAGCATTTGAGAAAACATAATTGTTCATATTTGATATAATGTTCAGATTTCTTTATTTCAGCTCAAATTCTATGGGAAAATGAGATCCAGATGACTTGGTTAAAGCAGAAAAGTTTAACACCCTCATTCTTCTAGGGGTACATACACTAGAATTTATTTTAAAAGCCAAATGATTGCTAATTTTCTTCTCCTGGATAAAGTACTTCATATTAAATGTTTCTACCTGATTGCTTTTTTTCAGAATAACCCTCAATGCGAACTAATAATAACTGAAAGTTAAATATAAAGAAATACAAGTTTATTTAGCCCTTCAACAGTGTACATTAACAGCTAAAGAGAGATATTATCCCAGAAGTTTTCATCCGCGGATTGGAGCTCACCACAGGTGAGTGTTTTTCTTTAAGTAAATTCCATTTTATAATCTCATGGAACACTCTGCATCTTTAGTAATGAAGCCTTCCCTCCAATGCTCACAACAGTACACAATTCTTTGAAACTGAGTGTAAAAAATAACTTTCAAGATTATTGACTTCTGTGAAAAGAAACAAGGAAAACAAATGTATCACTTACATAATAAAGGGAAACCATTGCTAACTGTGCTTAATGACTAGGTTTGCTTTTCCAACACTTCCTATGCTGACAGCTTGGTGTAAGATGTCCCCACCTTCTATTGAAACAAAGTTTCAATAGAAGAAACAAAGTTTCAATAGAAGAAACAAAAGTTTCAATAGGAGAAACAAAGTTTCAATAGGAGAAACAAATCTGAGTACATTCATAGTATTGGCCAGAAGTGCTACCATTTCAACTTAAAAATCATATGAAGTTACAGACAATACTTTTGTTGGGATTTCACAAGAAATGCATTTCAAAGAAGACTCACTTCCTAACACAACTCTTATGGACAGAATCAATTTAGTTCTCTCTCTCTCTCTCTCTCTTCATGCACATGCGTGCAGGGAAATAGGTACATCATGTTACATAAATGAAGAAGGTCAACAAGTTTAAGAAAAGATAGGCACCAAGAGGCTAGAAAGAGCTTGCAGCTACAAGAGGTTTTTATTTTTATTTTGGTACCAGGGATCAAACTCATGACCTTGTGCTTGCCTGGCAGGTACTGTACCACTGAGCTATCTCCCTGACACAGCTACAAGGTTTTAAAAAATGTTCTGAGAAATGGAAGTAGGACATGCTTCTTTCCTACACATTCAGTGGGGAGAATTAGCCTCTTATTTTAAACTTGCATTTGCTTTTACATTGAGAACCTGGTAGACACAAAAAAAGCATAACTTACAGTACTGAATTAAATTTTATTTCAACTTAACAAGGATACTTTAAAGATGCTTTTAATTTAAATTGAAATTAAATATTCTATGCATGTAATATATTTTAAATCAACCATTTGTTCTTGGAAGTGCTTCAAAAATACTTAGAAATATCCCATCATTTTTTTGGTAATTAGAGTTCAAAAGTCATGGAGAGGCTGCTGCGGAGAGGAAGCTAACAGGCTTGGGGCACTTTCGCTGGGGCATCCTCGGGATGAGGCAGTGTTCATATTTGGCCAATAAAATTCAAACTATAAAAAAGCATTTTAAAACAAGCTAAGTCATTCTTCTGCTGAGCAGATACAAACGACAGATAGTCAAGCTCATATCATGAAACCAAATTCTGTGGGTAAACTTCAAGCTCAGGCAACGGGTGACAGTGTTTGAGGAACAGACAACTCAGAGTCAAATCCCTAATGCTCAGCTTTGATGGTGAGTACCATTCCCTCCTGGTATTTTAAAATGCACCACTAGAAAGTTATGATTAATTATTCAGATGGTCCAAAGTGTCCTTTGCCTGTTATCACTATGAAATGCAAATTACAGGTTCAGAAAAACGTGGTGGTGATTGATAGCAAGGCAGTGAACAATGGTTGCTGTTCCTGGGATGAGCTTACCAGGGGGCAAATCCAGGGTGGGTGATTTTCTCTTTTGAAATCAAACTGTCTCAACACTGAGCTTTATTTTTTCATTTTCTTTTCTTTTTTCTCTTTCTATATTTGAAGGAATAATTTCTCAATCAATAGTACTCAGATAAAAGCAGCTTTGAGCTTTGAAAAGAGAATTGGAAGTGTTTCAAAGCAGGGTCTGCTGCTCAGAACACAGAGCTGGTTCATTACCATGAGAGTCCCTGGCTAAGCCCGGGCAAGGCCAACCACCAAAAGAAAAGGGTGAGCATTCAGTACAATTCATTAACTAATTTTTGAATCATTCTTACAAATATTATCTAAAATATAAGCCCATGAATATCTGTTCTTTCCATGTGAATTATGATCCAGTTCACGCCAACTCCCCTGGGCTGGACAATTGTTGATGCTAGTATCAGTGTTTTCAGGAATCCACCACAGCTCCTGAGGTTACAGACCATGAAGTGGAATTTACCTGCCCTACTGAGATAGGGCAGTTGTTAATGTTTGGCTTTTTAATATTTTTGGTTGCTATTGTTGGTTTAAAATCTAAGAATATGTCATTGAAGTAATTGATGTGATGTACATTTTGTAGCATTTCTGTTTACGTAAATGTATAGTTAACGTTACAGAACAACATATGTATTTTTTTTCAGGAATGAAGTTACACCTTTGAATAATTTTCTTTTTTTTAAATATTTGCTGCTCTGTAAAGAAACAGTGCACATTAATTAGCATTAGCTAAACAAAATTCTCCCAAGGCTATGCCAGAATAAGCCTATCATTACATAAAATATCATGCTATACTACAATCTATTAACTTCATACCAATATAATTTCTCTCCAACATTCTTAAAAAGATCATAATTATTTGCTAGAAATATATAGAATGTTTCATTGTCTGTTCACTTAAATCAATAAAAAACATGGGTGTTTGATTCACTTCCAGAACTGAACACATCTTCTCTCATTTCCTGCCTTAAAATCTTGTAAAAAAATGTTTAAATGTCCCTATTGGTAATGCATGAATTGGTGTCATAGAGGTTCAGTGTTTGGGATTTTGATAAACTATGATAACAGAGCAAAGTTTCTGTGAAACATACTCCTTAGATCTGTGTATGTAAAGAGTTTTCAGTTTTCATGAATTAGGTCTAAATTTATCTGGATTACCACTGAAATACATACTGTCTTAGTTACTTTCCTCATGGCTGTGACAAAATATCCAGTACTCACTCAAGGAGATCTGTGACAATAATCAGTTGTATTAAAAACAGCAGAGAATGAGCACACACAGTGGTATTCTACATGGTGAATACCCGGAAATCGCTGTGATCACGACTAACATAATTAGGCACAGATATAAGAGCATTGTGTAAGACACCACTTTGATGTCAGGGTCATAACACAATTACTTACTGCCACGCTCATGGAAAAGAGTGGACTTCAAATTGTCCAAGGAAGACTGGATTTCAGCTTCCAGGCATGGGCTACAGGCTGCTGGAGAGGGTCAGCTTTTGTGCTCACGACTCCCAACCTGCCGGAAGCAGCTTTTGCAGGCAGCAAGCAGTCTGTGGCATGTGTCCCAGCCTGGAATGCACATCGGGTCTGTTTTCCTTACAGCAGATCACTGGGCTTACCAGGGGAAGCCTAACTACCCAAGTGCCTTGCAAAGCTTCATGGACATCACATCTATGACTCCTCTGCAGTTCAAGCAAGTCTCGTGGCCAAACTCACACTCAAGGAGTGTGAAGTGAACTTTGCCTATTGTGGGGACACTGCTCAGAGTGAAGAATTGGGAACAATAATTCTCCATACTACACTGAGCTTGACCTAAACAAGACAAAGAGCCCAACTATGGCCTCTCTTGCTTTCGGTAAAGTACGAATGTGAGGTTAAACATGAGAATAATAGATGGGAATGAATAAAGAAAATGCATTGTTTCCCTGAGTGAGTCTAGTGTCAGTGACCTGCAGGGAGGAGATGCCCGTGGGGGCTGAGAGCGAGGGTTTACACTAAAGCTGCGATGGTTGAAATGGGGCTAAACTGGCTCTGCTTCAGTGGGGAACACAGCCTCCGAGGCGATCCCCTCCCCTCCATAGAAAAGCACTGTTTGTTCTGAAGCATGAGAATCTATATATCAATGACTTAAGATGGGTATAACTATTATGTTTCACAACATATACTAATAAAAAGTGAAATAAGTGTAAATTCACAATAAAACTTAACAAAAGAAAACGACACCTTATGGGCTAAACTCAGGAGAAATAAATAGATTCAGACTCAACTGTTTCAAGACTTGAAATTGTGCAATACAAAATGTAAACTATATGTGTCTAAAATATTTAAAGAAACAAAAATTAGAACTCCAAAAATGTGCAGCATGAAAATATCAAAAAGAAAAAGTTGTGTCATAAATCAACAAATAAAAATGGTTGTACCTGCATATACGATGAAGTTACGCTTTCACTGGATGTGGTAAATGCCTAGATACAGCCAAGAGAAAAAGACCAAATTAAAACATCATCAACCAAATAGAAGGTAAGAAAATGCAAGTACAAAATATGAAAAAGTGCCAGCTGTCATGAAAGATAAAATGAAAACGTATTATATGTTTAACCTAGGCTCAGAAAAAAATACGTAATGGAGGAAGGTGATTTCCAAACTTAATGAAATTCCCCAAATTAATAAAATCAAGAACAGATTAATTGTGAACAGACATAAAAATTAAGATATGTATCAAGGAGGAGTTATAAAAACATAAGTAATACAGTAAAGCTACAGAACACTCTAGTGGACACATTTTGAACGCATAGAAAGATGAACTGTTGGTCACCCAGGAAGGACCCCTCAGGAGGCCGCTGCTGGTCCCACCCGTGGAACAGGAAGAGTGAAGCAGGGCAGGCTGAGCACAAACCTAGAAGCTGGTGTCCAGAAACAGTGTCTCTCACATGTAAGAACAAATGCCTGCAAGGAATCAGAGGCCTTCTTCAACAGTGGAAATTCTAGTGTTCATTAGAAGAAAGAACATGCTCCAAACACAGCCTTGGACAGATACAACAGGACTGCTACAAGTTACATATGCAACTGTCAGTACAGTAAATAAGCTAGTATATCTGTAACGCTCAATTATACATCAGTAATTATGTTAATCCCATATGCTGTGATTTTGATTGGGTGAGGTTAAAAAGGAAGTAAAGTGACGGAAAACAATGGCACATGAACGAGGAAGGGAGAAACTAACTTACCGCATCTCAGATTCTTGACTGGGAAAATAACTAAAATGTTACATTTTTAAATTAAATTAATGTATAGAGTATACATTTTCCAAACTTGATGTGGGGGAAACATGATACAGGCAGGAATACAATTTTTTAAAATGTCAATCCTGAAAATAATGAGTTGGATAAAGAACTAGCAAAGTAAAGGAACAAATAGAAAATACAAAGAAGTTATTGAAACAGAATATGAAGTTCATAATTAAAATAAATCATATAAAATTTCACATAACAGGTAGGTATTTCAGATTAAATCAACAGTCACCAATGGGTAGCCCAAGGACTGACTCCGGGATCCTAATGTAGGATGTCACTGGAGAAAAAGTCACTGAGTTGATTGACAATAATTTCAAAATGCAATTCACCTCTTTTTCTCTCACTTCCAATGAGAATGTAACCGAGTTTTTTAGAACATATGCCACATGTGACATGGCCCCAAATGAAATATAGGAGAAAATACTGTAATTCACTGAGCTGTAGTTTTACTATATCATGTTTTTCTAAATCCTCCTTTTCATATGTTTTATTTTTATATCTATTTGCAATCAGTCAGTTCTTGAATCTCAGTAACTCTGAGCATTTCATTAATTTGGAAGTTACCACCCTTTACTGTGTATTTCTTTCTCTCTGAGACCAGGTTAAATGCATGGTACATGTTTCCATTTTATCTTTCATCACATCTGACATCTTTTCATATTTTCTATTTTCATTTCTTTTTATAGTAAGCCACCATTAAAGAGATTTACAAAACTGAAATCAAAGTGATGTTTAATAAAATTACGGTTTGACTCTTACATGTCCCCCAAAAGCTCACAAGTTGATGGACAGGGTACTGTTGATGGTGGTATCAAAATACGGTGGAAATTCCAGGATCCAGAACCTGGCTGAAATAAATGGGTTCCTGGAGGCATTAGTTCAAGATATTTTTCATAAATACCTGGTCTTCAGCCCTTTCTCTTTCTCTGCTTCTGGGCTGCCATAAAGTGAGCAGCTCTGCTCCAGTACAACCCCTGCCATGACGTTCTGCTTCACTTAAATCCCAGAAACAAAGAAATATGCAACCATGCACTGAACTCTCTGAACTGTGAGCCAAAATAAATCTTCCTGTAAGCTGACAGATAGTACTGAGCCATTGGGTCAGACTGACGGAAAGCTACCACATTTATTGCTCATGCAATCTATTAACATGCAATTTATTTTATGTTAACATAAGTTAAAATTAATTTAAAAGAATTTTAAAATTTGTAAAATATATTTCTCAGTTTCGATTTCTAGATATAATCCAGAGGAAAAAAACTTCTATAGGGTCAGAGGGCCCCAAAAAACTATTAGATATTTTAAAAATCCAGCTAAATCACTTCAGAATAAAACCTAGAAGTTATACTAGGTAAGTATAAAAATATCAAAATGAAATAGTTACTTAATTACAAACAAAATAAGCTTTTAGATACCACATTTTGGGAATGGGAAAATACTAAATAAACAATCCATTTCATTAGAAAGATAAAACTTTTTAATGTAGTACCGCCTATTTAGGTGGATTTAAATTCTATAAAGAAAAAAATCATCAAACCATAAAAATATACTCACCATTACAGTAAGGAATATAACATATACATTTCAATGATTGGCAAGATAATAATCCCCAAATTAGACAAAGTACTTCTGTCAAAAACGTAATTCTGTCTTAACAGGCACATATAAAACTGTTCATTTCACAAACAGTGAATAAATACTTTTCACAAATGCACATTGACCTAAAAAAGACTGAACATAAACTAGGTCTAAATGAAATTACAATGAATTTTAATGACTCTCTGAAAATTGAAAGAATTAAAATTAGAAGTTATAAACAAAATAAACAAAAATAAAGCACACGTGTGGAAACTTCTTAATATTTAATGGGTCCAAGAGGAATTAATAAATAAAAATTTAACTATAGGTAGAACTCAAGAGTAATAAAAATATCACAAGTAAAATTTT